TTTACTTGGAAACGTGCTTCGCGCCACAACGGCGTACACTTTTTCGACATCGCGACTTCTAGAACTGCTCCGAAGCTGAGGTGCTTTGCGCATTTTGACTTGGAAATGTGCTTCGCGCTACAACGGCGTGCAACTTTTCATTTCTCACCTGGCCAGATGGCTCCGCATCCCGCCGCTTTAGCGAGGTTACTTTTCGACCCTCTGGAGCCACAAATCATTGGAAAAACACAGTGAATCGCGACTTTCCTATTTTTTCGCGCACCTGCATCTTCTTCCTTCTCACTCTTTCTCCTCTCTGATCTTCTCTCCTCTTTTCTTCTCCTCTCTGACTCTTCCCGCCTCTGCTATTCCATCTGTCCATATTGGCGGACGTTTGATTTCTAAACTTCCTTCGATAAATACACCCCTTCAAACAGTGTGGGGCAACAGATAATGCTAAACAAACAGGTAAATTGTTTTGCATCATTATGCATCAGTGAGAAAAAAGCAACAGGTTGGCGTATAGCAACTATACCAAACCAACCCGAATCGCTCACCAAGCAGATCAAGAAATGTTCGAGTTTACCAACTATACCAAACCAACCCGAATCGGTCACCAAGCAGATCAAGAAAGGTTAGGGTATAGCAACTATACCAAACCAACCTTGCTCTTCGTGCGCAACATGCCTCTGGCAGTTGCTGCCCGGGATCCCTCCACGGAGATACCATTGCTAGGCGCTCGGCAATGCTCGTGCGCAGGAAGCTTCAAGTTCACTTTGGTATCCCTAGACGTCCCTAGGCCTACAAAAAGCAGTTGCAGCGACTTGGTCGTCTGCAAACAGCACTCTACATCAAAGGATGATCATTTAACAGTTCCGTACATTTCATACGGTTAAAAGAAAATTCAAGAGGCGGATCAACATGATGAACTTGTAATGCAACATCTTGAGATGAGATCACACCACGTTATGTATGTTTGCGTTCAACCCAGCGCTCACTCTCAATGATCAGTGGAGGTCCATAGTAGGTAAAGCAGCGAGTTCTTGCCCTTGGCCCAGGCTTCAATGGGATTTGTGTGGAGTTGTTTTCCTCAACCCAAGCCAAGCAGAAAGTAGGCTACTTTGGGTTGAATGCGAAACTCTGCATTTCCAAACAATAAATAGAATCAGTGCGATTACTGAATTGTATCTGCATCATTGCGCATCTTGCCTCGGATGAAAATGTGGCCACATAGCTTTAGTAACTATGGGTGAAAGGATACGGGCTGAGATCTTTTGACGCCCTCACAAACATACAGATATGTTCGGGTCTGAATGCTAGCCAATGTTCCGAGTATACGGTAGCGATCCAGGCAATCAAAGTAGTTCAAGAGCCCTGCTCAACAACATTTTCAATCAAACCCTTCTGCTTAAAGATAAAGTAATGTCTATTGGACATCTCCCACTCTGAGCATCTAGCCTCCCAACAGGGCCAGACGAAAAACGCGTCTCGGAAACAGGAAATGATAGTGGGTGATGCGCGGCAAGAAATTTATCAACAGTAAGGGCCTCTAATGTTGATGAATTCGTCTGATATCAATAAGACCATTTCGTTTTCATGCGAGACTAGTCATGCCCTGCTCAACAACACTTCAAACATTTTCAATCGAACCCTTCTGCTAAAAAAACAGTGTCTATTGGACATCTCCCACTCTGAGCATCTAGCCTCCCAACAGGGCCAGGCGAAAAACGCGCCTCGGAAAGGGGAAATGATAGTGGGTGATGCGCGGCAAGAAATTTATCAACAGTAAGGGCCTCTAATGTTGATGAATTCGTCTCACATCAATAAGACTGTTTCATTGTCATGCGAAATTAGTCATGCCCTGCTCAGCAACACTTCAAGCATTTTCAATCAAACCGTTCAGCAAAAGAAACAACAGCTTCCAATCGACATCTTCCACTCTGAGCATCTAGCCGTCCAAGAGGGCCAAACGAAAAACGCGTCTCGGAAAGGGGAAATGATAGTTAACGTTTCTTGATCTGCTTGGTGACCGATTCGGGTTGGTTTGGTATAGTTGCTATACTCTAACATTTCTTGATCTGCTTGGTGACCGATTCGGGTTGGTTTGGTTTAGTTGCTATACCCTAACATTTCTTGATCTGCTTGGTGACCGATTCGGGTTGGTTTGGTTTAGTTGCTATACCCTAACATGTCTTGATCTGCTTGGTGACCGATTCGGGTTGGTTTGGTATAGTTGCTACACCCTAACATGTCTTGATCTGCTTGGTGACCGATTCTCGGTGTCCGATTCTGGTGTCCGATCCTGCTATCCTGGTGTCCGATCCTGGAAATCCGGTGACCGATCCTGGAAATCCGGTGACCGATTCTTAGTTCCCGATTCGGATATCCTGGTGACCGATCCTGGTGACCGATTCGGATGCCGCCCGCCGGGAAAGCCTCTGTGTGTAAAAGCGTCTGTGTGTAGAAGCTTCTGTGTGCAAAAGCTGCTGTGTGTAAAAGCGTCTGTGTGTCAACGCGTCTGTGTGTAAAAGCTTTTGTGTGTAAAAGCTTCTGTCTGCAAAAGGTTCTGTGTGCAAAAGCTTCGGTGTGCAAAAGCTTCTGTGTGTAAAAGCTTCTGTCTGCAAAAGGTTCTGTGTGTAAAAGCTTCTGTGTGTAAAAGCTTCTGTCTGCAAAAGGTTCTGTGTGTAAAAGCTTCTGTGTGTAAAAGCTTCTGTGTGTAAAAGCTTCTGTCTGCAAAAGGTTCTGTGTGCAAAAGCTTCGGTGTGCAAAAGCTTCTGTGTGTAAAAGCTTCTGTCTGCAAAAGGTTCTGTGTGCAAAAGCTTCGGTGTGCAAAAGCTTCTGTGTGTAAAAGCTTCTGTGTGTAAAAGCTTCGGTGTGCAAAAGCTTCTGTGTGTAAAAGCTTCTGTGTGCAAAAGGTTCTGTGTGCAAAAGCTTCGGTGTGCAAAAGCTTCTGTGTGTAAAAGCTTCTGTCTGCAAAAGGTTCTGTGTGGAAAAGCTTCGGTGTGCAAAAGCTTCGGTGTGCAAAAGCTTCGGTGTGCAAAAGCTTCGGTGTGTAAAAGCTTCTGTGTGTAAAAGCGCCTGTGTGTAAAAGCTTCTGTGTGTAAAAGCTTCTGTCTGCAAAAGGTTCTGTGTGTAAAAGCTCCTGTGTGTAAAAGCGTCTGTGAGTAAAAGCCTCTGTGTGTAAAAGCTTCTGTGTGTAAAAGCTTCTGTCTGCAAAAGGTTCTGTGTGTAAAAGCTCCTGTGTGTAAAAGCGTCTGTGAGTAAAAGCTTCTGTGTGTAAAAGCTTCTGTCTGCAAAAGGTTCTGTGTGTAAAAGCTCCTGTGTGTAAAAGCGTCTGTGAGTAAAAGCCTCTGTGTGTAAAAGCTCCTGTGTGTAAAAGCTTCTGTCTGCAAAAGGTTCTGTGTGTAAAAGCTCCTGTGTGTAAAAGCGTCTGTGAGTAAAAGCCTCTGTGTGTAGAAAAGCTTCTGTCTGCAAAAGGTTCTGTGTGTAAAAGCTTGTGTGTAAAAGCGTCTGTGAGTAAAAGCCTCTGCAAAAGGTTCTGTGTGTAAAAGCTTCTGTGTGTAAAGGCGCCTGTGTGTAAAAGCGTCTGTGAGTAAAAGCCTCTGTGTGTAAAAGCTTCGGTGTGTAAAAGCTTCTGTGTGCAAAAGGTTCTGTGTCTAGAAGCGTCTGTGTGTAAAAGCGTCTGTGTGTAAAAGTCTGTGTGCAAAAGCTTCTGTGTGCAAAAGCTTCTGTGTGTAAAAGCGTCTGTGTGTAAAAGCGTCTGTGAGTAAAAGCCTCTGTGTGTAAAAGCTTCTGTGTGTAAAAGCTTCTGTGTGTAAAAAGCTTCTGCGTGTAAACGCCTTTGTGTGTAAAAGCTTTTGTGTGTCCCGTGTGTAAAAGCGTCTGTGTGTAAAAGCTTCTGTGTATAAAAGCTTCTGTGTGTAAAAGCTTCTGTGTAAGAGCTTCGGTGTGTAAAAGCGTCTGTGTGTAAAAGTCTGTGTGCAAAAGCTTCTGTGTGTAAAAGCTTCTGTGTGTAAAAGCGTCTGTGTGTAAAAGCTTCTGTGTGTAAAAGCTTCTGTGTGTAAAAGCTTCTGTGTGTAAAAGCTTCTGTGTGCAAAAGCTTCTGCGTGTAAACGCGTTTGTGTGTAAAAGCTTTTGTGCGTCAAAGGTTCTATGTGTAAAAGCCTCTAAAAGCTTCTGCGTGAAAGCTGTTGTGCGTGTAAAAGCTTTTGCGTGTAAAAGCTTCTGTGTGTAAAAGCGTTTGCGTGGAAAATAACACCAAAAATCCGTCACTCTGCTGGGGGAGAGCTTTTGGGACGGAAGCCGGGAAAGCCTCTGTGTGGAAAAGCGTTTGTGTGTAAAAGCTTCTGTGTGTAAAAGCGTCTGTGTGTAAAAAACACCAAAAATCCATCACTCTGCTGGGGGAGAGCTTTTTGGACGGAGGCCGGGAAAGCCTCTGTGTGTAAAAGCGTCTGTGTGTAGAAGCTTCTGTGTGCAAAAGCTGCTGTGTGTAAAAGCGTCTGTGTGTCAACGCGTCTGTGTGTAAAAGCTTCTGTGCGTCAAAGCTTCTGACGAGTCGAAGTCGGAGTACGCGTCGGAGTAGGCGTCGTCGTCGTCGTAGTCGTCGTCGTCGTCGTCGTAGTCGTAGTCGTAGTCGTAGTCGTAGTCGTAGTCGTAGTCGTAGTAGTAGTAGTAGTAGTAGTAGTAGTAGTAGTAGTAGTGGTAGTGGTAGTGGTAGTGGTAGTGGTAGTGGTCGTGGTAGTGGTAGTGGTAGTGGTAGTGGTAGAAGAGAAGGGGGGAGGGGGGGTTGACTCAATTCAGACGAGGCAAAGATGTGCGGGGAGAGAACAAAGGAACAAGTACAAGCCAAGAACAGAATCAAGTACAAAACAAGAACAAGCAGAAGAACAACACCTCACAATCAGACACGCCGGCAGGCCGGCGGAATCATTCCTTTGGTAAAATCATGATTTTATAGAGTCTTTGTCTTTATCACAGCCAGAGCCACGCCTCTGAGGTCGAACAGCACTTCCGTCCACAGGATGGAGATTCCCAGATTTCCCAGGAAACCATTTGGGGACCAAGCTACAGGAAGCCCTAAGGAGATGTTGGTCCCAAAAATACAACAGGTTGGGGCATTGAGTCATCTAGATTCATTTCGTCTACAATGTCTACAATCTACAGCATTTGCATTTGTGAATATGTGGTGGCATTTCACGGTGTATCAACTCTCTTTTTCTTCACCCCTACTTTGATGATCTTGCATTGGCCAGTGTTTTGGGGTTGGGTTGAAACATGTTGAAACCATATCACCAACCAGGTGATGGTGGGTCCCCAGTCCCATCCCATTGATTGCTACCAGTAGGTGCTTGTAACTTTGTGGCGTGGGCCTATTGCATGACGGTAGTGAACGTAAGATTTGAATGGCAAACAACATAGAGATGCCACCACTTTGTGGGTTCCAGCTATTTTGGACATTCAGGGTTTCAGAGGGTTACCCTCTGGTAATCAAACATAGCTATTGAAATTGGCAATCTTATAGTTGATATACCTATTTAAAATTGATATTTTCCATAGCTATGTTAGTTTACCAGATCGTACCCTTTAGCAATCAAACAAGGCTAGCTTGAACACCTCATTTAGTTCCGATGAGTTTCCCATTATCCCATTGATCCCACTCCCATTAAATCCCATTGATTGTTGATGGTTGATACTTATAGTAACCCCCAAGAAGATAGAGTGAATCTTGACTGATTTACTTTTTCATACTTTTGCACCTTTGTGGGAAGGACATGGAAGGACTATAAACTAAATGGGGCTCACCAAATGGTGCCCTGAAGGCTTCCATGGATGTTCAGGATGTCAACCTGCTACCGCCGGATCACGCCTTCCGCCCGAAGCTCAAGATGCAGATTACCAACTGGGCAAAAGCCAAAGCCCATTGGTTGATTGCTAATGTTGGGGTTCTACTAATCTATTGGAATAGCTACAAACAAACAAGTAGAACCAGTTCGCAGCCAGGTTTTTGATGACGCTGTCCAACTGGGCACAACAAAGGGACCCAAAATACATAAGAATACCAACATACATCGGTTCCAGCCCCATCTTACTTAACAGTTTCAAAAGCCTCGCTTGGTTGATGGTTAGTTTGGGGGCTACAATACCGCCCGATATTACTGGGGATAATTAGAGATTTCCCAATAGTTTTCCAACTGCTGGTTCTATAATATCTCAAACGATACTTCAAAAAGCATCCCACGACGTTTCCCTTATATCCCCATACATCCCCATACCCCCAAATAGCCATAGATCATGTTGGTTGTATATCCACGATATCCCCAATGCATCCCTATTATATTCCCAGTATATATCCCCCTGATTGGTTGCTTATATCCCCGTCCGCCCCAAAAAATGTAGATCATGTTGATTATACTATATATACTGTATATATTATATATACCCCCGATATATTCCCACTATGTTTTCCTTATGGTTGGTTGTATCCCCAGATGATATTTTTGAAGTGACGCAGCGCACCTCACTCTGAAGGTCAGGTGGTTAATTGGAGCTACTTAGATCAGTTCCTCGAGGAGTGGCTGCGAGTCTTGTGATAGATGCACCTATATCATAGAAAATATATGTAATTGATATAAGTGTGTATATATATATACATATGTACACAACATATATAACGGTATATGTATATATTAATACATACATATACATAATAGAACGATACGCATATATATATATATATGATATATGCGGTGCCACGTAGATACTCCAAGGTCCACAGCTTTGCAGCGCCAGGCGCACGGCTACACGGGCAACGAGGTGAGCACCTGGTGCAGGAGCCACGTGGAGTGACCCGCGGCCATGGCGCATCAGGCCATGTTTCAATGGATTGGAAGAGAAAATCGAAGCCGGAAACCATGGGGAAACCCCCGTGAAATAGGATATACCCTCTGGTTATTTAACATAGCCATGGAAAATCCCTTATAAATGGAGGTTTTAATGGGAAAACCATCTATAAATGGGCCATTTTCCATGGCTATGTTAAATAACCAGATGGTAGGGCGGGTTTTCCTGTAAATTTTCCCTTAATCCATTGAATGTTGGGAAGAATAACATTATGACTGACTATCTGACAACAAATATTGATAGTACCCTTTGGTAATTGGGATATTGTATGGGAACATTATCTGGTATTATATCTCATGGGAATATGACTGAGATAGTCACTATCTCAAAGTATTTCGGGTATGTTGGGAATAGTATCCCATGTTTTTTTAATGTATAGCCATTTATATTATATTCTCTCTATGCTATCATGATACGTTGGGAGGATGACTGGCTATGTCAAACTATTTGGGATATGATGTGAATATCCCGTGATATTATTGTATGGGATTATATTGATGGTACCTTTTGGTAATTTAACACAGCTATGGAATTAGGTTATATTCTTCCCAGATCAACGGTAATGGCTGTGATATGATGGGAATAGAACTCGCCAATAGTTGGAGCATGTTGGAGCTACTCCAGCTAATAGCAAATGGGGATATCATGGGTAGTCTTCGTGGTATATACATATGCGCATATATCATTAGAAAGGTCGGTAATAGTTGGGATAATTGTCATTGGAATATATTATGATAAATATAACCTAACAATAATATATCATAGAATGGCTGTATCATTGCAAAACACTTGTAATAGTGGGGATATAATGGAGGTATAATAGGGATATAGTGGTAAATGGCGACATGATGGGGATATGTATGGGTATATAACTTGGAAAAAAGTGTCATATGTTGGTACATATCGAACCAAATGGAAAATGATGGGAATATCTTACTGTATGACATAATATAGAACTTACCATCAATAAAACTGATAATATTGGGTCATATATATATATTTGGTAAATGGAGATATAATGCGTTTGTATATATATATATATGTGTGTGTATGTATATCATGCGCTTGTATATATTATTATATATATAAGTGTGTGTTTATATATAGCTTTGTATAAGAGTGATAGTTGGGATATCTTGGGAAGAAGCTATGACAAAGATGAGATGACTCACAAACAATATTCATGAATTATTGGTCTGAAAATGAGGTATACCCCCAAAAAAACTGTGCCATTTGAATAGGAAATGAAAGGAACATGAAGATGAAGAAGTGATTTAAAGGTACTCTATTTCAGCAGGTCCATACATTTTTTTTGTTTATCCCAAGTAGTGGATAAATGGTTGGTGAATGGCCTCTATCAGAAGACATGCTCACGTGTAGATATACAAAGAATCATAGTATGTATGTATCTATATAGAGATATATATATATACATTGTATACATATATCTATATATATCTCTGTATATATGTCATACATACATATACATATCTAAGCACTCCCAAGATCAATACGCTAAGGGTTTCATTCAGCATGTGTTCACTTCATCCCAGTGAAGGTACCCATTGCGGCTGCATAAGGTCCGGAGCTCACATTCGCTTCGGGGATGGGCATTGCGGGCATCGGTTGATACGGGTTCTGCAGGTTCCCAATCGGGTAACCATGTTTGGCCAGTGGTTTATGGTCGGCTCATATCATGGTCTCTTCAGACTGTAGCAGGTATTTTTGGGATAGCATGGGATTGGGATCCTCCTATATTATCCTTCCTATGACCCTGGCTACTTCTATGTCTAAGTGTTTGAGTGGTGCCCCATTCAAAACATCTGACATATAGTGCGTAGGCGCACATCACTCTGACAGCGGCGGCCCCCGTCGCGGCACAGCGGCACCAGCGCCCCAAGCTCCAAAATGCACACCGCACTCTGACAGCAGCACCCAAGAGCGGCACCAGCAACCAAGCTCCGCAGCGCAAACACGGCAAACCGCACACCTTGCAGCTGCACCCTGCAGCGGCAGTAGCAACCAAGCGGCACCCTGCAGCGGCACCAGCAACCAAGTTCCAAAGCGCAAACATGCAACTCTTCTTATACTTGAAGTAAGAACCCCACTACGGTCAGCTGGGGGGCAGACCGAGAGCGACCTGGTACCATTATGAGGCCTTGCTGGACTACAGCTTGGGAAACAATCAGAAGTCTTTTAGACAGACCCTGAACGATGTGGAGGCAGGGCAACTGCGATGGGGATGGTGCTAAACCAAGTTGTGGCTCTGAGAGGTGTCGTGAGGCTTGCAAAGGGTTTTCCCCACCTGCCAGGTGAGGGTTGTTAGATTTTATGTCAGTTGCCTCCTCCTCCTCGTCCTCCTTGTCATCCTTGTCGTCCTTGTCGTCCTCGTCGTCCTCGTCGTCCTCGTTGTCCTTGCTCAACTGCGACCCGCGATCCACAGTGTTCTCTGCCGGACCTCAACCACGACCACCCACGCCCAGTGTTCCCTGCCGGACCTCATCTGCGAGTATCCATGCCAAGTGTTCCCTGCCGGACCTCAACCGCGAGTATCCATGCCAAGTGTTCCCTGCCGGACCTCAACCACGACCATCCACGCCCAGTGTTCCCTGCCGGACCTCAACCACGACCATCCCCGCCCAGTGTTCCCTGCCGGACCTCATGTGGGAAGATATGGGACAAAGAATGTGCAGAAGAAAGTTAGAAAGAATGTCAGAAAGAATGTCAGAAAATATGCCAGAAGATATGCCAGATAGAATGCCAAATAGAATGCCAGATAGAATGCCAGAAGATATGTCAGAATATATGCCAGAAGATATGCCAGATAGAATGCCAGATAGAATGCCAGAAGATATGCCAGATAGAATGCCAGATAGAATGCCAGAAGATTTGCCAGATAGAATGCCAGAAAATATGCTAGAAGATATGCCAGATAGATATGTCAGAAGATATGCCAGAAGATATGCCAGAAGATATGCCAGAAGATATGTCAGAATATATGCCAGAAGATATGTCAGATAGAATGCCAGAAGATATGTCAGAATATATGCCAGATAGAATGCCAGAAGATATGTCAGATAGAGTGCCAGAAGATATGCCAGATAGAATGCCAGAAGATTTGCCAGATAGAATGCCAGAAGATATGCCAGAAGATATGCCAGATCATATGCCAGAAGATTTGCCAGTAAGAAAATGTATAAATGTCATGGTGGGGATCACACGAAGTAAAGTAATTTTGCTCATTTGCTCAATCTGCTGCCCACTACATTGCGACACAAGTTCAAGAGTGTCGGAAAAGTAATTTGGAACGTTCGTCATTGGATCGGTCCAAAGAAAAATCAACAGGAAACAATGACTGTTGCCAAACAATAGTGAGTTTTTCTGCAGATGAAGGTTCACGGTTCTCATTCTGATCGTGACATTCCCGACACTCCGATTTCTAGGAGTGGTTTCACAAGCTAGACTACATAAGTTCAAACATGACCTGCATGTTTATGGTACAAGTGGTACAAGGCAGGTTGTCATAGATTTGAACCCAGCAACCCTGAGAACTTCCTGGTTTATTTCAACTCTTCTTGTGATTCTTCCAGCGGCTGAGTTGCAGGCAGTGATTGCGACAGCCATCAGCGACGAAGGAGGGAGCTTGCTGCATCACTTCTAGCCTCAACCAGCTGATGGCCAGAAAAGAGCTGACAGCTGTTGGTTGGGATGAATTTGGGATGAATGAGTGCGTCAGCGTTATGGGTTTGTCTGAAAAGGGATATCGTTCATAATGGTTCCACTTAAAGTTGCCATACATTGGGGTACCCATTCTCAGACAAACTCATATAGTCATGAAAGATAATACGGGTTAAGAGGATCATAATTATCAACAGTTGGTTTGTTTGTTTTTTGTGTTTTTTTCAGCTGTTTAGATCAGCGCTCGTTTTTTTGCCATCCGAATGCAAAGTGGAAACTCTGAGACTGTTGGTATTTCAGATGCTGGAAAGCTTGACAGCAAAACCCATCGTTTTTGCCGAAAACCCTGTCAACCGCAGCCGAAAGTGCCTTGAAAGGCACTAGCACTTTGCCAGGAGCTGAATTGCATCTGGCCTTACGACTAGCCAAACCTAGCCAACCAGATGTCTATGTTTGTTTGTTGAGAACTCCCCCTTATAAGAGGTTGTTCAACAGGTCCTTCGAGGATTTGCCGATCCCTTGGCATCAGTCAGCTCCGCCCCTGCCATGGCTGAAAAGACCTGTCGACATTTCCTGGAAGGCCGGTGCAAACATGGCGACGCGTGTCGTGCCTATGACGCAGGAATTTTCCCCTATCCGGTGAGGAATTTCTGATGATTTCTGATGGTTCCGCATGAAATAGAATCGCACATCATACCTGTCATACCTCAACATCATAAGAACTGAGCAAATCTGTATGTCATCGCTTTTGATGGCGTCGCCAAGGCCATCTCCATCCCGAGACACCGGAGAAAGCACCTGAGAAAGCGCCGGCGCCGCCTGTTTTTCCCAAGCCCGACTGGGGTGATCCGGAGCTCGCTGGGGCCGACTTTGCGAAACGACCCTGGCGATGCAGGGGGGGCTAAATCATGGGCAATGAATGTCAATCCTGGATGGAAAAAACGTTTGCTGTACAGAATTGTAGAATCAGAATAGATTGAATAGATTTCAATCATGGTTTACTATATAGGTTTGGAATCTTCAAGCATGACTATACAGTATGGGTTAGCATGTGTAAGTGGAATCTATTGGAATCAGTATTTTCATCCGGGTTGGGGTTGACAGTGTAGGCTGTTCTATGATTCTGTGTGCAGTTGTTGTTATAACTTTGTTGACCGGTGACTGGGTTGGTTTTGCGAGGGAAAATGTCGTAGGAAACCTCCCAAGGTTCCCTTGAAATGCCGAAAAACCACATT